TGTGGCATTGGCATCTCTGTGGAAGAAATAAACCCAATGTGAGACTTTCCACTTACTACAAATAAAGACATTAGACTAAAACAATATGTTTCCTAGGCTGCATAAATTGTCAACAATTACAGGTTTTGCTTAAACATTATGGTTACCTCGAATTGTCCACAAGCTCGGCCAAGGCTCCAAATAAGAACTCGTGGGTTGTCCTGAAAACAGATCAAACATTTGATTAATTTCAATAAACTTGATTAATAAAAAGGGATTTAACTAGAGTTAACTGGGCAAGGTGGTCAGAGGAAGAGGGTGTATAAGAGATACTTGTTGTCAGGAGCTGATCTCCATATTAATATTCTGTGTGGAGTTATTCAGTCATACAACATGTATTTCTGCCAATTGGTGTGTTTGGGTCCTTATTCATATAATACCTAGAGCCTCTCCTCTATTACCACTTACTGACAACATCTTGTGACAAAACAACAACAAAAACTGGTTATACTTGTATTAAAAACTCTTCTCCTGGAGCATTAAACTACTTTCAAGCTCACCAGTCAATTTTATTTATAAATGTAAGGTAAGGCAAATGCTTAATAGAAGCACTAATTGTTTTAGTCCTGCTCCTGTGGTTAAACCCTCCTGGACCTGTGTATAATCCCTTAGCAGTGGATTTGGAAATGAGCCCAGGCTCATTCCATATCATCTGTCTCTCTAAAATGTGTTTACTGGTGCACCACCGCTTCATATTCAAACATAGACCGCCTTGTTCAGTCAGGCTACATCACAAGAAAATGTTTAGGCCTACTTGTAGCAATATGACGGATAAGGAATAGGATAAGGGCTTCATCCTCACTTCTGCAGCGCATCTGCAACTGCTTGTTAAATACATAACAGTGTTGTGAACAACACCACACCAGGGTTGACTTGTGTAACGTGTGACCATGTTCTTTTTTTAGAGTTATTCAATAAATTCAGAGTCAGACAAGTTTCAAATTGGCACAAATAAATCAGTGACACACATGCCTGTTAATCAAAAGCCATAATGCAAAATTTTGTTCACAATGGCTTGCAGAATTACTACACAAACAGTTTTTGATCAAGCAACCATTTAATTTATTTAAGCATTCAACTCGCTGGAATTTCTCAAACTAACAGTGATCTGGTGTCAAACTGTCAAACTTTTCTCATGTCTAAAACGTCTGTGGGATCACTTGAGGCTGAGGTGTGTAAGAGTGTTACTTTTTTTTATTTTCAGAATGGCGGATACAAGCTATAGTGGGTATGTGTTTTTCAGTTTGGCTTCATGCTAGCGCGGCTGCCTCAGTGTTACTATAAATAAATGTGGTTTAGTGCAGAGCTGCAGTTTCATTGACAGTCGCTGTAAAAAGAACCTTGATGAGGAATTGGTTTTTTTGTCATCTATGAAATCGAACATTAAATAGCAGAACTAGAAAATTACAAAGTTAGCTCAGACGACATGAGCTCTGAATGGGACAACGGTCAAGATGCCGTCCAAGTAGTGGTCCCAAGAGAAGACTGATGAGGGAGCCTCACACAGTTACCTCCACTGCTTTGACCTTATTGCTATAAACGTATGCTGTGTACTCTTAAGTAGTGTTCCCAGCCAGATTTCCACCTTAGGAACCCAGGACATCTCACAAGTAACACTGGTGGATGATCAGAAAGTCTATAGTTGGTTTGACCAGAAACAGACCAGCTTCAGCGGAGGAACTCCAACAAAAACATCCATCCACGCTCGACCGCAAAACATTGGAGCGCTTGTAATGTCCACAAGCAGGTGATCATGATTTGTGATTACTGAATAATTTAGCAGGTGTAAGTGTATGAGAAATTAGAGTAGGTTATGTGTAAGACTCTACAATATAAGTATGGAATATAGCAGGCAACGCTGTAATACTAATTAACGAATTTCATTTAAAATGTGTTTTTTATTGTTAATATGTTCTGAAAAGGTTACAAGGAGACTCTAAGATTTGAATATGGCTTAATCTGTGTTATACAACCATGCATTTAAGGGTTAAATCTGCAGGAGCAATTGTTATAAGTAAAAAAAACTACATATTTTCCATTCCACAAATAAAAGACACTGTGTGTGATAAGTGTTAGCGAACAGATGTTACAAGTATTGCATAACATAACATTAAATGGTCCGTGCAGACTTTAGACACTATTTTTGATGGAGGGCAAATTATTAAATGTAAACTGACACATAAATAAAATGAGAGCATATTCTTGTGTTCTTTAAGTATAAGATCTAATCAGGTTTAACAGGATCAAACCTGATCATCTAGCCAAATAAGCTTTTAGGTTGGGTTATTTATAGTGTTATGGTGTATCTGTACAAACATTAATGATGGGTATTTGATCTTTCCAGCCATCTGTGGACCTTGCAAAGACTACTTACACAGATGAGCTGGTCTACTATGTCTAGTTTGCAGCATTTAATGTAAGTTTTTCTTATAATCATGTGTAGTATCAAGTTCATAAACACTTGAATTACCAGAAAACCGGTACTTACGAATTTGTGTGCAGGTATTCAAAGGTAAGCTGAGCCCTGCTCAGGTTGCTGTAGTTGGAGTAGGCCATGACCAGACACAAATATTTCCTGTTCCTTCCTGGTCTGCTGTTTGTCTTCGTCCAGACGAACCGAGATCTAATAAAGAGCTTTCATTCTACAAGAGGAGGAGGAGGAGGAAACCATCACAGGTCTTGTATATTAACCTACGAAGTGCCTTAACACATAGTCCACATTAACTGACCAGGGACCTGAGCTGACAACAACTGATGTGCACACTTTACAACAAGTCAGAAGGGACAAGTTAACACCCACGACTCATTGAAAAGCCTCCACCTCCCCATATGAAGGGTACCACGTGGGAGGCCTGTTTAGGGACAACATTTTAATTGTTAAAAGTGCAAAGTGCGCCTCTAGGCGAGCTATTAGCAGTGAATACATTAACATACCAACACGTATGCGACTGTTACTAACGTTCAATGCTGCGTTAGCAATGTGCAGCTAGCGGACATTAGCTTCTCTCCCACAGAGTGTTTACGATGTTAGCGTTAACGGCAGCTAGCTGGAGTTAGCATCACACTGTGGAAACATGTAACGTCAGTCATATCAAGTACATTTTCACCGACTTTTGCAGACCGTTTTCATGTGACGACGACCTTGTTGTGTCTTAACGCTATTGTAATAATCCCTCCGAGCAGGTGCAATTACTTTGTAACGTTTTTTTTGTTTGGTGCCCTGACATGAAACAATCCGCCAGGCCGCGAAAGGATCCAACCGCTCCGACGTTGGTTACTTGGGGTTGCCTCTCCTCTGCGGAGAGCCCGCCTCTATTTCTCAGCGCTCAGCCAATAGGAGAGCAGCATGTAAAGATTCTCACCGGTGATTGGAGGAGACGTTCCGACGTAAACGAGGTGTACCTTGCCACACAGGTTGTTCAGTTTGTCTCAGTGCCCCCAGATTTAGTGGCTCCCAGTGACATTGTGTTTGTGTATTCAATGCAATGAACCCAAATAGTCCAATCCAACCCAGCTTTATTTGTTAAGCACTTTAAAACAACCAAAGTTGACCAAAGTGCTGTACAGGAGAATAAATAAGACATCATAAATAAAAGACATAACAGCCCACATGAGGCGCAAAATAACATATAATACAACAATAAAAAAGAAAAGACATAAATAAAAATAATAACCATGCAATAACAAGCAATCAAAAAGTAAAAAATAACAAATACAAAAAATAAATCAAGTAAATAAAGTCGACATCTTACTAGGGGTCAAAGGCCACAGAGAAGAGATGGGTTTTAAGACTGGTTTTAAAAACAGACAGAGAAGAGGCCTGTTTAATGTGCAGAGGCAGATCATTCCATAATTTAGGAGCAGACACAGCAAAGGCACGGTCCCCTCTGAGCTTCCGCTTAGTTTTAGGCACACTCAGGAGCAGCTGATCATCTGACCTGAGGGGGCGGATGGGTATATAGGGGTGTAGAAGCTCAGATAGGTAGGGCGGGGCAAGACCATTCAGGGATTTAAAAGCAAATAAAATAATTTTAAAATGGATCCTAAATTGAATAGGCAGCCAGTGAACAATATAACAGATTATTTCCTGTGAATATTGATCAGAGATGAGTTATCCTGATATTTTAGGAACTTTTTATTAAATGTTCTGTCTTTATTTATTTTAACAATCATACGTAGTTTTGACTGTGCATACTGCCTCTCCTTTATTCCTGTTGTGCCATGTGCCATTGTAACGTCATTTGATTTTGATGCAAATCCAGATGACAAATAAAGTCTGTCTAAGTCTAAGTTACTGGGCTTCTTTTTTGACAGATTCAGTGTTTTAAACTGTTACAGCTTGTGTTGTGTTCTAGTCTTCAAAGTTTAGATTTTTTTTTAGATCTAAACTTTTTAAAACTATTTAAATTTTTTGTCACAATAATCAATGAAATGCAAAGATATAGGCCTACTGTATATACTATATGTTTTAAGTTATAAGCTTACACCACTTAAAATCAAGAAGGCCTCGTGACCCTGAGCTTAGGTGACCCCTAGTGGGGATCCCAACCCTCAAGTTCATAACCATTGCCCTAAAATGACAGGTATAATCAGTGTTGTATTGCAGGTATACAGATCATGAAACATTAATATAGCTTGGCAGCTGTCCGGTGTGGCTCTTATGAACTGTTTTGGTCTCTTAAAAAACATTAATACCATAAATCATAATTCTGATCTCCAAATTTGATCTCCCTTTTCCACTGCTGGTCCTGGGCGGCACTACAAACTGATTAAAGGTTGCAAGTTTGCTGTAATTTGAGTGCAACTGCAAACATTTATTATTACCTGTACTGTATGTATGAGTGCACCAAGTCAAGACTGGTTACATTAGTAGCTTCCCTTCACTAAGCAGAACCACACATGAAACAGGAGTAGGCTACTTGTAAAAAAAGACACCTGAAACCAAAGACTCACAACATGAATCCAGTTTCCATCCAGTTTTTATATTAATCATTATTAAAGTTTCATTCTTGTTAAAACTTGGAAAACAGGATGCCTTTTTGACCACTGTAATGTGAAAATCATTGGATTGCAGATTGGAGGACATGTCAGTAAATTAATAACACTAGTAATTTCACATTTACTCTACTTAGTGTCCTGTTAACTCTTTGTTATTAAAACAATTTACAAATGGCTTGTATTAAAGCGACGTTGCAGATGTTGCACCCCTTTTCTTTTTTCTAACTTAAACACTATCTGTTGCTTACAAATTCAATTAGGAGTAAGATACATTTCAGTGTTTCTTAAAGGTTCTAGCACTGTGAAAGTCATATAACACACTGCAGTTGTATACAAGAATACTTCAATTGTAGATCTGAAGTCTCGATTCAATGAGCTTTCAATGTCAGCATATTTAAATTAAAGTGCTAAACAGGCAAACTAGCCGAGCCTACCCAAATACCTTTGGTCCAGTAGAAATTAGAAACAAAGAATACTTTCACAGTTTAAAAAAAATAATAATTACGTTTTGACTGGAATAACACTTAGTCTCAATAGAGTGAGCTCTCACTCAGCTGAATGCAACATGTAAATGTCCATTTTCTACAAGTTATTGACAGTAATTCTGGGAAACGTTGGAACTGAAGAAGACAAGGTAGTTCAACAGAAAGCAAATAAGTCCTGGAATGCACTGAACATAACAGACTGGATAGTGAATGTATGACTAATAAACAGAGTAGCTGGACAGTTGTCCTCATTACACCATGGTCCCATTAAAAAAATATACTCCTTCTTTATCACTGTATCTGTATTAATATATCTCTGTATCTGAGTTTATGATTTGGATATTGTATAATACATATACTGTTTTAGTATTGCACTTACAAGTTTGGAAACATGTTAATCGATTAAAAATGGTCAAAATTAATGCAGAAGAAACTGACTTTTACTCCCCAGTATGAGTCAAGCTTGAAATTGCTAGATCCTACATAAATAATAGTCTCTAAACCCAAGCTGAGATAACCCTGGTGACATCACCTGGGTTTATTTTTCAGGCTTCAGAGAGCTCCCTCCAGAGTCCCAGAGTCCTTACACAGTGTTTTCACAGGCTGAGCAGTACTCCCCATGACATGTAAACTGGTTTCCTTTGTAAAACTGGTTGGATGCCTTAAAACAAGTGACAAATATTTCTGTTCTCTGTCAAGAGAGCAACTGATTTCTTCTGGATGTAGAGGAGGAACAATGTTCAGGTGTCAATTAAGGGCTCCTGCAAATAAAGCAAAGCAGCAAGGTTAGGTTAAAACAGTATCTTCACATTTCACAACATATATGCAGAAGATATTAAAAATGTTAATGAAAGTGAACCCAAACAGCAACCCTACATCCGCTGTATAACTGCATGTTACTGTAGTATTTCTACAATTAGTGTACTTATACCTAAAACTTTTCATCTGCATAATCCTCTAGTTTACAAATATCAAACTTACAAAATGTAGAAGATACAAAAACATAATAATTACTTACATTTTGTAGATCCAGTCCATTCCAGTGGTGTCGACGTATGAGCGAATGTGTCAGACTAGCAGCTAAACAGAGTATCAGACAAACGGCTAGCAGACACACACTGACTTCTAACAGATGCCGCTCTGCCACACTCTGCTCCTCCTAAAGAATGAGAGTAGAGAATGACTGACAAGGCAAGATTTTATCTGACTTTATCACGTCCGAGAAAGTCATGTTGTGCATGCGGGACACGTGTTGTACCTGTGTTAACATGATTGTGAGTGTTGGGTCATTCTCGGAGTGTAGACTGTAGCAGGTTTGTAATGCTGTAGGCGGCTGGTTGCTCGCTTCCACGTGGATGGGTGAGATGTTTTTCTCAGATGCAGGGCACTCTGGTGGAAGTCTTCATTAAAGTATACAACACATGCAGAAAAACACACAATATTACTTATTTGTGAGTTTACAGACATTATTTTTATATAACAAAATAGGTGGTGATTTACATTAAGGAAGCTTAGAAACACAAACTTGAGTGTGAATGAACTTACAGCCTCATAGGCAGGAGTTGTGTTGGAGCACTTATGGTGAGGCAGGTGTAGGTATCATTTCCAGACAAAAACTCTAGAGTCACATTAACAGTCTCATTGCCTGCAGAGTAAAACAATCAATTATTAGTGAGTATTTATGGTTATATACACTTTATGTAACAACAAAGCCAATCCGGGGCAATACAAACCTCCAAGATGTAGCTGCCTGGCTTTGAGGACAGCGTGTAGTCCAAGATCCTTTAGAGAGCCACTGTTTGAGTTGGAAGTCACAACTACAGGAACCTTAAGATGCAAACGGCTGACAGAAGGAGTCTCTGTAGAGTTAAGAGTGTCTGTATCCATCAGAGGGGAGGGGACTGGCGAGACAAACTCAGATGAACTTGCATTGGCTTTGGCACACAGCTGGAACTGTGACAATGAGGACAGGAGATGGTTCCAGTCCTAAGAGAAGAATAAAGTGTATGATTAGCACATCAATATCTGCTCAGGACACACAAAAATACAAGCACACAGCTTACACAACATTACGTTTGCCTTTGTGCATCAGATCTCGATCTTGTTAACAGATTGTGAAAGGATTTAATGGTAGAATATCAGCTCAGCTGAGGCCTGGCTAATCTAAACACACACAAAAAAAATCTAGGGATACACAAAAGTTATCAGGATACATAAAATATGATTCAATAACGGGAAATGTATATTAATATAAATTATCCCAATAATTAAATTACAGCCAATAAATTATTGGTCCATAATAATAAAAAAAAATCTATTTTATGAGAAACTACTGATTGATTGAAATTGTTATGATAAAATTTGAAAAGTCATAACTGTTTTTGTTGTGTTAATAGTAAAGTCAGTTAAATTTGGTTTGGTTTAAGGTAGAGGTGTAAGAAAATACAGAAAAATATTATATTGCGATATTTCATTTTGGGATATTTTTGTGGTTATGCCCCAACAACCAGATAGCAGTGTTGTAAATGTAAAGGGCTACAATACAAATGCAGATCTCACTGTTCTGGTTCTTAAAATTGCAATATATCGCGATATATCACAATATATTGATTTCGTAACCACGCGTATTGTGATTGTATTGTATCGCTAGATTCTTGCCAATACACATCCCTAGTCAGAGCTATGAAACATCATCCATCTTTGGTCACCACATTTTGGCTTTTATTACCATCAGGAGTGTAAAAACTACAGGTTATAAAAACTTTAAAATAACTTTAAAATACAAAAATGTGAAATGATCCATCAGCTTATTGTTATCGGCCATAAGAAGCAGGTAGTCGGTTATCGTATCCGCCTGAAGACAACAGCTGTCTAAGCATTACTGAAGTTTCCACATTTGTGATCAAACCTGTTTCAAACCTGACACATTTTTCCGAGACAGCTTCCAATCTCCATTCAGTGAATTTGGATTAGTGAGTCCTTACCTTTACTGTGTCAGGGTTAGGCAGAGTGTGAGTGTAGCTGTAAGAGCTGAGGCCGATGAATGAGACAGCCAGAATCAGCAGACACAGGAAAAATGTCACCGCTGGAGGATTCTGGGATACATAATCTCTTAGGTTGGTCACTGGCTGCCACAAACCCATCATCAGACTCCACATACAGCGAGGATGTGACAGGCTGCAAAGAAAAAGAGAGTCACCTCAGTTAATGGGGCGGCAGTAGCTCAGTGTGTAGGGACTTGGCTTGGGAACTGGAGGGGTGCCGGTTCAAGTCCGGTAACGTTGCAGCCCCATCACTCCACCATCTCTCCCGCCTTTGCATATCCAAAAGTGCATGAAGTGTGCATTTCAGCCTGTGTGTGTGTGTGTGTGTGTGTGTGTGTGTGTGTGTGTATAAAGAAAGAGTGAAAAGAACAATTTCCCCAAGGGAATCAATAAAGTATATCTTCTTCTTTTACTGTTTACTTATTATCCACAGTACCTTTTGGTAGTGCTAGTTTAATTAAGATCATTTAGTAATTCAGAAGCACAATCAAAGGACTTCTTTGGGTGAATGTAGCTACTGTTTTCAGCATAATGACATTCAACAGTAGATTAAAGAAACTAATGATTTTGGCTTTATTTGGCACATGTCTTCTGACCTTGTAGATAAACATAACAAGGCACAAATTGTGAACTTTAACTGCTGACAATGGCGGAAAACTCCCTTAAACTAATGGCCCCTGTTTGTGAAAAAGAACTACTGTTTGCAGACACATTAAGTCTCTTAGTGCGGACTACAGAGCAGCAGGAGACGTGTAACTTGTCCACCATGTATCAGCTGCAAACTCACAACGACGTTACTGTCAATGTAATGTTATTAACTAACTAACTGTTCATACCTTGTATCTGAGCAGAGAAAATCCAGACACACGTGAGTTTCTCGACGGCGACTGAACTGCAGTTCGTGACATTTAAGATGTTTAAAGTTCACTTAAAGCAGCACAAAGATAACAACACGACAGTTACGACAGCGCCGTCAGTTTACGGCAGTTCATCGCTGTGATGACGACTATGACGTGGGTCAGGTGACTTAGACCATTTTTATTATTGTGTATTATGTTGTATTATTTTTGTAATAATATTTTTTCTTTATAGTTTTATAGATATTTTTTCCAATATTAACATTCAGCCGATAATTTTTGGAAATAATGTTTCTTGTGTTAATATAACACATATAACATCATCTTCACAGGTTATTTTTTTAACAGAACCACATTATATAATTTATATGGAGCCTGAATATAACCTAATATAGCACACTGTGTTTCCAGTGAATTATAGGCCCACTTGTTTAAATTATTACCAATGTAAAGTGTGGTTGAAGATACTAAAATTAACAAGACAATGACTCAACCTGAATCTAATGATAATTAATTAGGCATGTTGCTATCTGCATTTCATTATTAATTATACATATTAAACATTATACTCACCAGGGCCCTTTTGGTTAGATATCTATGAACAACTTCAGTTTCTAATTTCTACTGGACCAAAGGTATTTGGGTATGCTCAGCTAGTTTGCCTGTTCAGCACTTTAATTTAAATATGCTGACATTGAAAGCTCCTTGAATCCAGACGTCAGATCTACAGTTGAAGTATTCCTGCATACAACTGCTTTTTATTTTTATGTAAGCTTACATGTCCATCACTTTCATTAACGTAATTTACCACTTAGTCACTTTAACTTTCTACCGTAAAGTTTTTGTGCGTTGCTATATAATGTATTGTTTAGTGTATAGTTTTTGTTGCCATATGCTAGTTCTAAAGATGAATTTCCATTTTATGCAAATGTCATGAACAATAGGTTCATATGAATCTGAATACGGACCAAATACTAAAACCAGGCAGTAATACAAAATTATATTTAAAAAAAGGCAACAATCAGGGCGCTTTTTATTTAGAAAATATTCAACATTCAACACAACTCATGATCAACACATTTGTCTTAACCGTAACAGAACATTTGCATCTGTATCTGTATCAATAATTGTACTTGGTGATTTCTATAAAGAAAGGTGAAGTCCAACAACTCCAATAACTCAATAAACCATCAGAATTAGTGGAATTGACATTTTCACACATTTAGTATAAGAACGATAAACAAAACATGAAAATTAAAATAAAACATAATCTAATGTAGAAGCTCCCAATTTACAACAGCAGAGTTGTTGTTCTTGGTTATCCTGTCTCACATTCAAAGCTCTCTTTAATTTTCTGTGCTTTAATTATGCAAATAATGCAACACTGCAGGCCTCCAGAATATTATTGCCACTCTCCTGAGAATCAATAACACGACTATTGTGTTCATTAAGACATGTCACACTGAATTAAAGTACCATTTCCCTTTGTCAAAACTTCACACAGCACAGTTGGCAGTATTTCCATTTATAATGCCACTTGTATACAGTATGATAGCAATTAAGGAGTCCAGGTGACTTTTACAGGCTTGAATGTCCAAGTGTCAGGGTGACCCATGTGCAGCAGGTCTTTGTAGGGGGAAGTGCTCCACTGGAAGGGTGGCACCTGGTCCCATGTTGGCCCGTTCACGGCTATCATACCGTAGTCACGAAACATCCCGTACGAGGTCAACTGCACAGGAACACACACACAATGCATCACAGTTAGCCAGAGGTGGCAAAAGGACACACATTCTTTACTCAAGTAGACGTACAGATAAAGATAAAAATTTTTAAAAATCCAGTAAAACTAGTTAAACTGATTCAACTTTAACTCAAGTGAAAGTGACAAAGCACAGGCTCTGAAATGGACTCAAAGTATAAAAGTAAACTGAAGAGTAACGGAAAATTCAAACTCTTTTGTCCGTTTCATCTTGTCATGCATGATATGCACGTCTTAATGTTGGGAAGGCTTGTAATGATGCAAAATAAAAAATGATAATAATCGATTATTACCCTCAAATGCATTAAAACTAAAGTAACAAGCCTGTTTTGAAAATGTAAGGAGCAGAAAATGCAGATATTTGTGTAAAAATGTAGGAAGTAAAAGTAAAAAGTTATAATATAAAAATAATAGATACCTGAAAAAAGTATGGTAACAAAGTATTTGTACTTAGTTACTTCACACCTGTAGATTTATCATTTATGTTCCACAGCCACACAGAACACTGAAAAATAAAAACCTTCATGTCTGTTCCTCCATGTGGTCTCTGCTTTAAGGCGCCAAACGGATATGTTCCATTAGCTGGGTTCAGGTCTGAACGGGCAGAGATGGCGTTCTCTCCATTTGCAGGTGGATCGCAGCCTTCGCACTTTGACAACGGGTCTTCTTTAAAGTTATTATACCTGAGGAGAGACACCGCAGCTCATGAATACAATTACAATTAATGTAGCCTATGAAAATATAACAAATAACATTAAAGTTTGTTTGTATTATGCCGATCAATCTAGCACACGACAGAAACCACCAAACCTGTGCAGGACCTCACCTCATTAGGCGGACCATTGAGTCCACATCTTTAACAGCTGTCTGGTTTCTCCTGAATATTTGAGCTCGAGGATTCTGGTCCAGAGAGAACCACGGGCCAAACTTCTCAACCAGCTCATTGCAGCCACTGGCATTGAATATCTCCACGTAGTACCTACATGTGAGCACATATGAACAAAATAAAGTTTTACATATAACATGTCAGACCACATGTAACTTAAAACTGATTCCAAACCCGGTACTTACGGTATGTTGTAACTTGCCCAGTAGCCTTTCTCCAGCAGTTCCTGAGTTTTATCAGTGTAAACAACGAGTCCCCTGCAGCATTCAAAGACAGGAAAAGGTTAGATTAAATCAGGGGTCAGCTACTCTAAATGTCAAAAGACTGAAGATGTGGATCCAGTGCCGCAGATTGCCTACCCCTGGTTTAAATTACGTGTTTTGATTTACGAGTGGGTGCAAACACTTACGGAATCTGCTCCAGAACAACAAAGAGCTCCTCTTTAATGTCAGTCTTTCCCGGAGTGAAGTGGTTATAGTTCACAATCATCCACTGGTTATTGTACCTACAAAGCACACAAACACACACACACACAGTCCAAACTGAGCATTCAACTTTTATTCTACTGACATTCACTGATTTTTAATGTATTTATTTACTGTATATCAATGTGATGCTGAAGTAACTGATTCAGCATTGCACAACAAACTCTCTGATGACCCCATTACAGCTGTATGCTTTCTCATGTGACTCTTGACTCGACTTTTCTTCTCCCTTTACTCCAAACAATCCACATGACAGTCAAAGCTCACACAAAATCTTATCTAATTTTAAAATCAATGAGACTTTTGCACATAAAACAAAAAGCAGAAGACAACAGGAGCACTCAGGAGAGTACGTTGGGACAAAGTGGTGATAATGTTGGTTTATGAGAGCCAGGTTTCTTCCTGGAGTGTAACACTCACGTTCCACTGTTGTACTTGCTGAATATCTCAGCCCACTGTTTGCCAGTAGCAGCCAGTCGATTAGCCACAATGTTCCTCAGCCATTCCATGACAGTTCCTGTGGGCTGAACGAACTTCCACAGAGCAGGGTTACTGTTGCCAATGGTGGTTTCCAAGGTAACCTGGAGACACAAGATAGTAAGCAAGAAGAAAGTGCTTCATCTAGCATTACTCAATTAAAATACTATAGAGTACTACCAGTCCCTCCAGGATTTCCCAGGCTTTTTTTGGGATGGTTGCAGCCTAAAATGCTTCATTTTCTTTGACAAAATTGCAATGTCATGCAGGATTCACAGGGATTGATTGTGTTTGCGTTATTAGTTTCAAACACAACTTCCTGGAGGGACTGCTAAACGCCCAATTCCATCATGCCCAATACAAAGAGTTCTCACCAGGCCGCTACTCAGGATATAAAAGTCATCTCCAGAGAAGATCGCTCCAGGATACGATGAGAACGCCTGAGTTCCTCCAGGAAGAAGATCACTGCCTGAAAAAGAACAGCACATAATAATCTGTATTCTAATCTAATGTAATCTGTAAATTATGTTTTTGAAAAAGGGGCTTTTGGTTTATGGCCGCATGGTTTAAAAGAATAGTTGGACATTTTGGGAAATATGTGTTTATCAAGACTGGAAACGGAGGTAAATGGCTAGCTAGCTACCTCTGAAGCTCATTATTACATTATAATGAACACATTATATCATTATAAGGATATTTCTCAAAATGTGGAACTATTCCTTTAATGTAAATAATGAGGCACTTAACAAGAAGAACAGTGATTAACAGGACACACAGTTGCATCAGTAAACTACCTAAAGGAGAAGCTCTAAAGGCAAAGATGTATTTCTTCATGATGCGCAGCATGGCCTGGTAGACGTTCCAGGTGTCATGTGAGACCAGCAGTTCCTTGTTGTTTGGCAGCAGCTTAATGAGAGCAGAACAGGAGCCGGACCCAAGAGGACGAGTTTGGCTGGATTTGTTCAGAGCCGATTCCAAGTCCTCCAGATCCCCGCCCAGCTGGAAAAGTCTGGTTGAACAGAGTAGCAGTGGAGAATTTAAAACAACAGTAAGAAACACATTTATTGATCTCAGGAACAGTAAAGAAACATCAATAAGAAATGCAGATAACCACTTACAGGAAACCAAATGGGTTGAAGGAGAACGGCCCTACTGGAAATGACAGCTCGTCGTTGTAGCTGTCCTCCAGACCTTTCAGCTGCAGCAGTGCCAGACGCACCTGACAACCAGAAACAAGCCTTTTAACATTTTTCTTTCCATGCAAGGGATTTCATTCACCCTACAAATGGTCATTAAGTACCTGGTACCAGTAGGGTGAACTTGGCTGCTTCTCTATTTGCTCCTGAATCCACTGCATGTTGGTTGTGATGAAAGCCTTAAGGTGCTCGCAGTAAACAGACTGAGACGTGAAGGGCCCGCAGTAACCCATTAGAGTGTTCATCCAGTGCTTATAGATGAGCTGAAACATACACAAATGTTGAATGAAATGTAAAGTAAGCCAATAGAAACATTTAGACTGTCGGGTTAAGTCGAGCTCAGTCAGGCCTGCAGAATGAAGCTGACCTGAGATGTGAGTGCAGCCTCCACTGCACCGGCAGCATAAGCCTGGATACTGTCATTGTACTGACTGCTGGTAGTGACCTCCAAGAAAGACCAGCTGAAGGAGAGAGAGAGAGAGAGAGCGCAAATGAGGAATACATGAAAAAACATATCTGTGTACAGCTTTACAATATTTTTATATAGGTGGTGAGAAGGACAGAAAGAAAGTTGGTTAACTTATAATTTGAAGGAGTTTCCAGGAGACCTTCATGGTTTACACAGAATTATCTATTGTAGGTCGATGAAGGAGGAAAGGAGTCAGATGTACGAGTGAATGGATCTTAAATGCCACCCAAATCTGAAGGTGACTTCCTGACTGGAGATATAATTCATACCTAAAACCACAAGATCCACTAAAGGTAACAAGGTCTCTAGTGTGTGCCAATTTGATTAGATATTGGTTTTAAACAAGAAACTATATGGTTAACCTAATCACATTGGATATAGGTCTAAATAGGGCATATACAACACATTATGTCTGTTATACACCTTTGTTTCTTAGCAGTAAGTAGCAGCTGCTCTAATAGTCTAATCAACCAAGTAGACAAGCTTAACTTATTGCTTTGGAAGAGTCACAGGCGAATGCAAATGACCATTTTACCTTTAATGTAAAGAAGGTAAATTCCTTCATAGGTGGCCCTCAAATACATAAGGAGTAGGGTTGCAATTCTCATGGTATCATAACTATCTAAATATCACAGTTTCACGGTACACAGTATTATTATTATTATTATTATTATTATTGTTATTATGCGTTACAATGAACCTTAAAGGAAAACAAAGGTTATTTTTGTTTTCCTGTAATTGTCTCAACTGAAGGTCACTGCAGATCTTTACATCCCAGCTTAGGAATCAACTTCTGTTTATGTGTTTTTCAGCTTCCTCTTTATAAAAACAGATACATTTAATTACTTACTAGTCTATTATATAATTATTACATTTTGTTTTATTTTATTTTCCTATACCCGTGTACCTTTTTTCCCTTCTTTAAATGATGAATTTTGTATTGCTGTCATGTGTTTTCTCTGTTTCCATGTATCTTTGTGCATTTTCATTTATTTCCATTGGGTTTTACCACATTGTTAATTTGAGGTCCATTATATGATGATGACTATATTGACCTTTCCTGTCATGTGTTTTACTTCTGCAATCAGTTTCTATGCTGTTTGTGTGCAGTGCAAAACACAGATTAGATGATAAATTAGTTAAAGTAACAGTAGAAAAATTAAAACTCACCCTGATGTTTTAATGTCATCAGTGAAGTTCGCCCAAGCCACAAAACCTTCTCGGTATCCGTCGACGACCGACAGCTGTCCGGTTTGTTTGTCAATAACAGCGGTTCGTATTTCAGCTCCGACGGACGCAAACAATAAACACAAACCGGATAAAACTGCTAAAACATTTAAAACCTTTGAGAAACCTCCAACCGCAGACGTCTTGTTTAGCCTGGACGCCATCGTTTATACCAGAACCAGTCACATGATGAAGCGGGTCACCTGACAGGGGGATGGCACTTTCAAAATAAAAGCACAAATCCGGTCACCGTGTTCAGTCGCTTTCAATAAACACACACAATAAAACACAGCCTTTAAAGCGTGAAATAAAATTTTATATAAAAATTGACATCAGTCACATTAATCTTTCTTTGAGATATAATTCTATACAAAACACTTGTAATGTAAGAAATTCAGAGATTTTCAAAGTTCAACCAGCTGATGAATTCCTTCTAGTTGAATGACACACAGGCCCTTATTTAGATCACAGTCTCATTTATACAGAAAAACACAGGAGCTCTGTTCAGAGTTGTGTCGAGGCTTTTAGGGAACTCAGTCTTCCACAACCCCAGTTTCCATCGTCTCCATAATTCCCTCTAAAACCTCGGACTTTCGCTTCTTCTTGGCGGTTTCTGACATGGAGAAAAAAAAATGTATATGGAATTAAGAAATTATTAAACAGCACATTTGCTTTCATTTCTGCATTTTGTTACAGAAGTTTGTGGATTTACCGTGAAAATGCTCGGCTGTTTTCCGTCTCAATGTCTCTACCGTGTCCTCAGCATCAGCCCACTCCAGCACGAGGCGTCTCCCGTAGAGATGGGTGCTGTGGCACAGAGCAGCGAATGCTTTCTGTAAAGAGAACAGGAGATTAGCATTTATGACCATAATAGTAACATTTTCTAAATCTAATGTCTGAAAGCTCATATAACACACAAACCTTTGCATCCTGTTTGGTGAGGAAGTCAATAAATCCAAAACCTCTGTGAGTCCCTGAACCGGCTGCTTTCTTTGGAAGACGGACTGTCTTCAGCTCTCCAAATGTACTGAAAGGACAGAGGAAGGAAATCATATTATTAAATGATTTTGCTCCAAATTTTCTCCACAGAGTGAATAAAAACAGTTGTGTGTGATGGCTACCAGAAGAGTTCCCGAATTTCCCTGACAGTGGCTTGGAAGGGGACGTTGCGCACAAGGATCTTGGATCCAGTCTGTTTCTTCTCAAGTTGCTTCTTCTTTGCGTGACACCTCAGTAGTCCTACACAAAGGGAAAATGGCTGAATGAGTAGGGACAACACAAGGGAGGCTAAATTCTGCACCACAGTCAACATTTTAACATAAATAATGAAAATCTTGTGTCAATAAGTGATAAGTTCACATTTTAAATGATACTGCTACCAATATATTTTATTTCAGTGTTAAATAAACTTGTAATTTCACAATATCATTCTATAGATGACACACATTCTTTGTAAACTTAATTAATGAACCACTATTTTTATTCTTCCCCACAATTCACTTAAACCTTCTGACACACATCTTACCTTGTGGCTCTCTCAGAAATCTTCAGCTCCAACTGGTGATCGTCCACAGAACAGTGCTGGTGGAGGGTTGAGACAAAGAACACACATTAGCAAAGAGCCAGACTGTAGAAAAAGGCTGGGGCAGTTTCACAGAGGAAACAGGGATGGTACCTGTAGTTGCCTCAGGGCTTTCTGTGCTGCCTCTGCTGTCTGATACTGGACGAAACCGTAGCCCATGGACAACATCTTGCCTGGAGATCAAATCAACATTGTAAGGTGACTCTTAGAGATTTAAAAAAAAATCTATACATTTGACCAACAGCTCTTGCAAAGCTTGAGAAAACACACACAAAATACAAATGTTCCCTTCTAAAAACCCATGTGTTCAAATAAATCATGTAATTTTGGTACATCTATAAATTTACATTTTATTCCAAAGGTATACACTGCAAGTGAATGTTACATTTATTGATGTGGAAAGTCCTTATTTTTAATGTTCAGTACCTGTTTTATCTTTCTTCTTGGAGATGGAGCAGGATGTGACCTTCCCACATTTGGAGAATGTCTACAACAAATGAAGAAAACAATATTAAACCTCAAAACCTAAACCTAAAAATCTCATTCATCATGTTGTAATTAAAGCCTTATTCCGTGTTAGAAAACTAACTTAGGGTTGTATTTATGAATTGACCTACCTCCTGAAGTTTCTCCTCCGTTGTGCTGAAATTAAGATTCTTAATGAAAAGTGTGGAACCAGGAGCAGATTCCTCCTCTTCCTCCTCCTCCTCATCTTCCTCTTCTTCCTTCTTCTTCTCCTCTTTCACTGCTTCCTCTTTTTCTAATACTTGGTTAGGCAGAGCCAAAAGATATTCCGATTATTCAAATGATCACTTTCATGTCGAAACAATACTAAAAAGATTATGTTTATGCCTTTGTGAGATTTTACCTGGTACTGGTTTGGCTGCCACAAACACCCCCACAGGTGCCCACTCCAAATACAGCGGGACGTGTTGAAACTAGAGTGTTTGGAGACAAGAAGTCTTTAAAGTGACTCTCCTCAAACATATGCTGCATTTTCCTGGTAAAGAGCTATACACACCTTGCTGTAGGCCAGCCGAGTGAAGGCTCGCTTTGCCTCGGTTGGCTCGAGGAACTCGATGATGGCGGTGAGTCCTGAGGGAGGGAGAAGCACTCGGCCCAAAGAGCCGTGAGGGGAGAAGAGCTCCTCCAACTCTGACACCGTCACTCCAGCTGGAAGGTTTTTCACCAGGATCACAGTTGTACTCCTCTCTGCTGCCGCCTGTGCACCAAGGGAAAACAACCTTAGCCAAGTTAACTGGATTACAAGCACGGTAAACTGCGTATACAACTAGCAATGAGTGGATATGAGTTCGTATTAACCATACCTGGCTAAAGGAATCCAGACTGACAGCGTTGTCTAATAGAAACTGTCGAGTCTCCTGAACGATCTGAGTCTCTCCCAGAGCCATCCTCACAGCAACGCTTCCTTTAGACTCCTGCAGAGGACGGCAAGGATCAGAGAAGTATGAAGAAACTTTAAATGTGCACTGCTCAGTGTGCTCGATGATTCACATGTTTTAACGGGAACGGTGTATTTCTGTTTACCTTGTGATCAATGCAGCGAAAGATAAAATATGGCCTCCATGATGACTTCTTCAGAACAGACTAACTGTACTTAAAATGTATCTTTTAATCATCTCACGGATACCTGAAGCATTTGGGCTGTTTCCAGTATGAACACACTGATTTAAAAAGAACATTATGGGGAGCACTAATGTAGAACAGGGGCGCACAGGTGTTACTCACATGGTCCAGGACTTGGCTTTTTGTGGTGTTGTATTTTTCAGCAATGGCATCTGCCACTGCACTTGTGCCCACAAATAGGGTGTTCCAGTTGTGGGAGCTACAGGGAAACATACAATTAATAAGAGGGATGACGGATGGGTGATGTAATTGAACACACAAATATTCATTTATTTATTCATCCTTATGAGTAAATACAAGAATAAACACAGAAGCAGAGGGTTAGTGTGATTATATATACCTGGAACTTGAAGCTTTACTTTTAGCATCTTTTTGCCGTTTGTAAGATGAAGAGCCGGGACCACCAGCATCTGAAGAATCCGTCTTCTCCTTCTTCACAGTGGACGGAAGCAGGTGGAGCATCCTGCCCTAAAAGCACGAGAGAACGAATGTTTCTAATCAGCCTCAACTTCATTTAAATATAAAGTCCTACTACTGAATCCAGGAGCCATTATAGGTCCGGTTTTTGTGGTGTGGAGAGATATTGAGATCAAATACCTGAAATACATGTCCGTCCAGCTGAGCCAGAGCCGTCACAGCATTCTCTGGGATCATGTATGTTATGAAAGCGAATCCTTTAGGCTTCTTGGTTAGGTTGTCAATAGGGAAGAGCACCTCGGATAACGGACCTGTGAAGATATTTCATCAATAAATATTATTATAAACTTGTAGAGTTGATAAGAGGGAACTTATTTTTTGCAGGAGCTGACTTTTTTTTTAATTCACCATGTTTAGAAAATAGCTCTTTGATCTCTTCCTCTGTGCAGGTGTAAGGAAGGTTTCTGAGGAAGAGTCGACCTGACTCCGCCACATCTTCCTCCTCCTCATCTTCCTTGAGCTTCCTGGTGAAGTTTCTGTCAATTTCTTTGTCCTTTCTGTCTTTCTTGCCCTTACCCCCAGAGCCATCCACACGGAAGACCTCAATGTAACGCCCACCTGCAAACACCGGCAGAAAGTATGTAATCGACAGTCAGGATGGTGGAGAGACAATGCAGCAATACAAGATATTTTTACCACTACACCTTGTCATACCCCTAAAATACACATTATACATAAAAATATATCTAATATTTCTCACCTATGTAGTCTTTATTCTTCTTCAAGGCCTTTTCCACCTGTTCCTCAGAGTGTAAATCCACATATACATAACCTGAAACACACATAAAACACCTGTCCTGATACATGGGTCTGTATACAGTCAACACAGACACATACATAACATACAGGCAACTATCTACCCACCATATATATGGTATACAGTATAATATAAGTACACAAAAGTTACTTTCAATATCATACCTGTTCTATTTCCACTTTCGTTCTTCCCGATCCTGATTGCTGCAGGCTTCAGCGGGGTCATGAACTCTCGAATTTGTTGCTATTGATGCCACATAAACAAAAAAACATGCTGGTGTCAGTGTTTTTAAGGTAGAATATCCTCACTGCACCTCTGGAATCAGGAAGCTCTTGTTCACTCACCTCTTTCACACTGAACGGGGCTCCTCTCAGCTTCACCGTGAACTCTGTCACTGGCTCCATCTGCAACAAACAGATGTGAGTGTAAATAACAAATACAGCGCACAATAATAATATATAATAACAATAACGTTTAAAATGTAGATTTTGTTTGAACAGTCACCTCTTGCTTGGCGGGTTTCTTCGCTTTGCTCTGCTTCTTATCCTCAGAGGAAACTGAGGGTTTGATCTTTGAGGTGTCACCACTTTCATAGGCGCTGTCTGTGTGCTGTACAGGACCACGATCCTCCTCTTCATCATCATCATCATCATCCATCATCATCACCAGCTTCACCGGCATCCTTCTCTTCGCTCTCCTCCATGGTGTCATCCGTGTGCGCCACCTTCGAGCGCAGATAGTCCATATCGGATAAGCTGGACTTCAGTGCTTCTTTAGTGGCACCTGAAAGTAACAACACGCCATCGTTGCACATCTGCCTTTACTTTCTTTTTTCTAATTACAATTTATTTTATTTGAGTATGTTTGTCTTTGTGGGATGGTACAAGAACCGATTCAGTACCAAGTCAATGCCAGTTGAGAACATGGCAGATTCAATTCTTCTGTACGTGATGGGGTCAGCATATACATAAATAAATAAAGTTATATTTTATGTTACACTCATGTTAGGGCTCTAAAGGATGTGGCCCATAAACATAGGCCCTTAAAAAGACCTTGAGGTCAACTGCTCCTCCTTCAATGGCACTGCAAAGTCCTAGAAAGTTGCCCTAAAATGTCAGTAAAAGTGTAAATACTAGTAGTAAACTGGAGAAAGTTTCATGATAACGGGTATTTTAAAGAAGTTAAAATAAACACTTTGGATAACTGACAGATAACTGTAGTTTCATCTACCTACAGCAAGAAGGGACCACCATTACCAACCTTCATCTTCATCTTCATCCTGTTCTTCTTTCTCCTCCTCCTCCTCCTCCTCTGACTGGTCTGAATCAAAGTTGAGGTAATCATCTGAGGCAACCTTCTTCTTGCTCTGAGTCTTTGTCCGTCCACTGTCAGGATCGGGTGTTTGCTGCACGGTGTCATTCGCCCACGTTGGTACTTGGCTTCTGTTCTGATGTACTGACAGAAACTCTTTGAATCCCTGGTCCTCCTCCAGCTGAAACACACACAACGAGTGGACACACAATGATTATTAGACTGTGTTGCACTGATAAACAACAACGACATAATGCTGTACGTCCTCAAAACACTAAATCATTACAGGTATATTAATGCAGTGGACAATATTGAATAAAATAAACTGTTGGCTTCACAAATCTGTGAAGTGAAAATGGTGTTAAACTCTAAATTATGTCCATATTTGACACATTGTAGTGAGTGTGATTTAGAGCTGGGTATCATTTAATTTCTTTTTATGTTACAGGTGTCAATATAATTCCAGATTTTGACACCGATCACATGATCAACATCACTTTTTTGATACCTTCACTGGAGAAATACTGCAAAAACATGTTTTTCTAAACCTTTTATTTCATTAGATAAAGTTCTTAAATGTTAAATGTTTAACACTTTGATTAAATGAGGAGCTAACTGATGAACAAATAACCAAACCAGATTATGAATCTGATATGTCCCTGTTGTCTGTGCTCTGTAGGCACATTTAGGTTGATCCACATTCAGATTTTACACACATTTACTCACATTTCCCAGTGCGCTGTTGGTTTCCTTTTTCTGTTTCTTTTTCTGAAAACAGAAACAAAAATACATCATACAGTCTTTTTTCAAGAAGTGACAGTGCGGTTTAACTTAACTATACTATATGTATAAAGTATACTGAATAAACTGTGGTTATCCAGATAGTTCTCTCTGGAGTTAATAAACTCTTTCATGGTTCTTATCCCCAGTTTAAATACTCATCTACAAGTAAAAGTCCTGCATTCAGAACCTTATTTAAGTAAAATGATGTATGTATTAATAACAAAATTCACTTATTATAGTATCAAAAGTAAAAATACTCATCACTCTTTGTTTTACTGTGGTAAAATGTGTGAGAGGACATCATTATAATGAACTATTGTAGTGCTGCAGAGATTCCCTGGCGTACAAATCTTGTTCTCCAGATGTAAGAAAACATGTTTGTTTGGTAAAAACCTCAAGAAATGTAACATTCATCATGATTTTAATAGTTTGTGTCAGTGAAAATGAAAATTGTGATGCAAAAATGCTCATTCCCACCAGTTATGAATCATATTACAATCACAATAACCACAATTAACCATATTGTGCAGCCTTAGATTTCGGTTAATATTACTGCTGCATTAAAGTGTCCGACACAAGTAAATAAAGCTGTCAGACAAATGTAGAGGAGTAAAAGGTACAACATTTGCCTGTGAGGTGTAGTGGAGTATAAAGATGAATAAAATAATTTATAATAATTAATAAATGATGGCAGGTATTGTGTGTGTGTGTGTGTGCACCTTTTTGCTGTCAGTGTCTGCAGGAGTGGAGGGTTTATCCGGGCCTGAGCTCTGGGTATGTTTGCTCCAGGCTTTGGCCTTAGTGGGGTCTCCAAAGGCCTTACACATCTCCACCTACAACAAACAGACAACCATGGGTTCACACATGACAAAACAACAACAACAATGTCAACAACAGGCATTGTTTAGTGGGAAGGGAGCCTCGACAGGAGTCCTACCGTCACTCTGGAGGTGTCCACGAAGCTCTTGTTGAAATGTTTCAGAGCTTTGTTCGCGTCGTCTTCGGCTTTAAAGCCCACGAAGCCGAACTTGCGGAACTTTCCGTCCTTGGTAAACTTCAGAGAGCAGTCCGTCACCGTGCCAAAGGCAGCAAACATCGACCTGAACCTCTCCTCCTTCATCTGCACACAACACACACACACACACACACACACACACACACACACACACACACACACACACACACACACACACACAACACACACACACACACACACAGACACACACACACAACACAACACAACACACACACAGACACAGACAGACACACACACACACACACAACACACAGACACACACACACACAACACAACACAACACAACACACAGACACAGACAGACACACACACACACACACACACACACACACACACACACACACACACACACACACACACACACACACACACACACACACACACACACACACACACACAGACACACACACACAGACACACACACACAGACACACACACACACACAGACACACACACACACACACACACACACACACAAACAGACAGACACACACACACACAGACAGACAGACACACACACACACACACACACACACACACACACACACACACACACACACACACACACACACACACACAGACACACACACACACACACACACACACACACACACACACACACACACACACACACGGTTATACATTACCAGGCGGACTGACACAGACTGTGCGCTGACATCCGGGCGGGTTACTCACCCCGTTGGGAAGGTTTTTAACGATGAGTCTCGACATAGTTGTTGTAGTTGTAGCTCCACTAATGTAGCATAAGGTTGGGGTTTTTTAAATATATGTCAACAAACAAGCGTGGACTCTCCTCTAAGTCGCCATTTTGAGTGGGAGGAGACTTTTTTCTTCTTCTTCTTCCCTGGATTTGGACTTTCTTGCAAACCGTCGTGTGTCAGCGCACATTAGCGCCACCTGCCGGACGGGTGTGTAGAGCAATAAATAAATAATTAACTATTAACTAAATTACTAAATTAACTAAAATGCATCTTCTAATATTGTTTATTTTAGGTTGTTTATTTATTAAGTGTTGATTGTGATCAGTGGTGGAATTTAAGTACACATTTAGCTTCTTTACCTGAATATTTTAATTTCCACATTATTTTACTCCACCAATTGGTAAATATAGTAATTTTTGCATATTGTTACTTGTTACTTTACAGATTATAGATCACCCTCCAGACATGTATTAAGACCAGCAGTCTGTTTAAAACAATGGTGTCTGATGTGGTATTTTTCTTTGTATGAAAGTGTGATTTCCACATTAAAATTAAAAAAAAAAAAGACTAATTTACTTCTTCTACTTCACTAAAAATGACAGAAGCTATGAATATTTAAATTATATTCAGGACACAAGACATCACTTACTTCACTGTGAAGCACATTCTCAGTGTATGTGGATCCAACTGTAGGAACAAGAAGAAAAACATATTTTGAGACTTTAATATTATGCATAATAATGACTCATCAAAAACAATCCAGTAATATAATACATAATAGTATAATACTAACAGACACCAGGTGTACACTTTCCTACTTTTAATTTTAATCAAGGGATACTTAATAACTGTACTTTTATGTTGCAGTAATAGTAGTAAGAATCTAAATGCTTCCTCCACCACACGCCCTGTTGTTAGTTTATGTTGATGTCTTGTACAGGTTCAATAGAGGCGCACAGCGTATTTGTTCCTTGTGGGTTAATCTGGTCCTCTATGGTCTGTACTCCTGACTGAGTCAACAGCTTGTTTCCTAAAACTCTGTAACATATTGGTAAGCACATGGCCTTTTTCCTGCCAAGTGGAGCATGGCTTTTAAATCATACATTAGTTGCATGGACACAAACTAATCTATAATTATTCATACATCCACCGAAGAACATAAATCACAAAACCACTAAACCAGATAGGCAGTTTCAGGTTAATGCAACCAGTACAGATTATTCCTTCTCACTTCATTTTGCTCGTCACAAAGCACATATTTCCTTAAAATATGGATGTTCTTCTAACTGGAAAAGAAAGGAATTTCTGATCCCACTTCCCTCACGGCTACCAGGCTTAGTTTCAAAGTTAAGCCGATTATTTGAGTTGGGAATTTGAGCCAAATACTCCAGACCAGTACTCAGTGGGATGTGCTTGAGTACATTCAAATGCAATTTTACTTTCACTTAATATCTGATGAAATAGTGTTCTATTTTTGGAACACGCAACAATGACAGAGCAAAAAAAAAAACCTAACTTTTGATTTAGAGGGGTTGGTTGTACTGTGCCCATGTGTCCATACTAATACTAATAACCATGTAACTCTCCAAAAGCACTACTTTAGTTCCTTCACATGAGCATTCTTTCATACTTATAATATTTTGGCTGTTTAAATGAGTCTAAATACTTCTAATACTCTTTCCACCCTTGTAAATACAAGCGTGACACACATTTCAATAAACTCATTGTTCTCCAAAGCTGAAATATCAGGCAGGCTAAATGGCAAAAAAAGAGTTCACTTTGGTTAGGAAAAATTTTTCATAAATGGATCTTTAATGAAAAGCAGTACAAACCAACAATTATTCATACAAAATATTACAAAGATCAATTAAATTTATGTTTGTAGTTACACTGAAGAGATGTATACCTTTGAAGTTCAAGCAAAGCACCATAATTTACAGTATAATTTATTATTATGCCTCATGTTTTATAGTAATCTGTTGTGTTGTGTGTGTGTGTGTGTGTGTGTGTATGCGTGTGTGTGTGTGTGTGTGTGTGTGTGTGTGTGTGTGTGTGTGTGTGTGTGTGTGTGGACTATAACTCTTCCTGGCAAGTACTCAAAGTTGTGACATAAATATTTTGAGACATAAAAAAGCTTTTTTGCTCAACCCCTGAGAATTATATTTCATATTGATGTTGATAACAGTGTTGTGCCTACTCCATCAGCACTGCGATCCTTTCTGCTCTTCGAGGTCTGGAACTCATTCTGGATTTCAAGGAAGGTTTTGTTCTTGGTTTCAGGAATGACAAGGTAAATATATACAGCCATTAAGGAGCAAATGACCAAGAACACCAGGAAACAGTACTGCTGCAGCCCGATCTGTGCAAAGAAAACATAATATAACAAACAAACCAAGCTTTTCCCCCAAAACATTTTGTTCCTAATTTGAAAATGCAATGATAAAACTTTTAAAAATGAAGATACATTGTCATGTTAAATCATTCTGGACACCTACCACAATGAAAGGGAAGACCAAGCCGATGAAGAAGAAGCTCAGCCAGTTCACCGACCCTGCGATCATGTACGCTGCAGGGCGTGATGTTTGTGTGAACAGCTCAGTGGTCAGGATGTTAGTCACGCCACCTTCACAGAAGAAGAAACAACAAAAGAAATCACTGTTAATTATGCAACAGCAGCCACATAGGGAAAGACTTCAGAGTTACTAATATAGTCAGTTACCTGGTCCTAAGCCAAAACTCAGAATAAAGGCAAAGACACATGCCATGCTCAAGTATGGAATTACTGGGCTGGCATCCTGAGAGAAACATAGTCACACAGAAGTGTATGAAATAGCATGAAACAATGGTTTAAATATATTTTTAGTGTTCTACGATGCCTGGGGGTAATTACCTGAAAAGTGAGCGTTAGCGTAAATAACACGCAGCAGATACTCATCAGCGTGTATCCTCCCGTGATGAGTACTTTCCTTCCCAGACATTCGATGAGCATACCCTGTGAGACACACAACATGTCACAAGACCAAAAACCTTCTCCAGGCAAACACTTTTTTTTAGATTTTACTCTGACCTTTCATGGAATATTAGCAGTTTTGTTCGGTCAAATCCACCGTATTTTAACTCGTGTTTTTCCATCATTTGCCCCCATTTTAGTTACTTAAGTATAATAATATAGGACAATTTTCCACTTTGGTGGATGATTAAGTAATTGATGCCTTTGTTTTGATGATTTACTTAAGTCAAACACTTGAAGTTTTTATTCGAAAGGTCTTGACTGTTGTTGTGCACCTCCCCTTCTTTATCCTTTTCTGGTGGCATGGAGGCAACCAAGTAATACACATGCAAAACAAAACAAAAATCTTTAAAATACTTACACATGTTAAAGCCGTGATGCATTCACAGGCACCAGTGCCAACGGTCACATATGGTCTTGTATCAGCGGGAATGCCAGCTTGTTTGAATAAGTAGTCTGCGTAGAAGTAAATCTATAAGAAATATAGACAAGAAAACCAAATTACAAAAAGAAAAGTGTATTTCTTTTACTCCTAAAGCTGCCAATGGAGGCTCTGATGAATAAATTCAACCCTGTGAGAGATAGCAGGACATAGAATATTGGAAGACAACAGATATATCATCATATACATACAGCATTGATGCCGTTCAGCTGTTGTGCAGCGTTGAGCAGGATGATGGTGAGAAGCTGCCAGCGGATACTACGATCACTTAAAAGCTCCCAGGGCTTCTTGGCCTGGAAATCTACTAAATTATTCCTCTCCTTCTCGATATCCTCCCATTCACAATCATAGTCAGCGCAGTGCAGTTGCTTCAGGGCTGCAGGAAAAACACATGACACACAAGGTGATTGTAGTTCTCTCCACGTGCACCATTCTCTCTCATCTGATCAGGCTACAGGGTCTGTTTCTGAGAATCTCATCAAACGGTTGCCTGCGTCAAATCAGTTTCTCTTCACATCGTCGTGGTGTTACTAGATAGCGATCACATGCTTGAAGTCACAGCTGTGAAGTCTTTGCTGCTGGTGATTCCAGACAAAGGGCATCTCCTCTACCTTAAAACTACACTGTCATGTGCACTAAATCAATCTTTGCAGGCCGAGGATAAAATCAAACCGATTTTGAAATGGAAGAGACCTTTACCTTTCTTACATCCCTCGTCATCTCCTCTGTCGATGAGCAGGAAGCGTGGGCTCTCTGGGAACCAGGGCAGGATGAGGAGCTGCAGGATGGCTGGGATACATGTGGTGGAGAGCAGGATGGGCCAGTACTCTTCTTTGCCCAGGAGCTCTCTGTGAAATCCAAATCAGATCAATTCAATCCTGTGAACAAAGATTCTGAGGAAATGTTGATTTTTTAGAGTGACGTTGAAAAAGAAAAGCCCAGCAATTACTTGAGGCCAATCACTTGTCCAGTCAAGATCCCAATAGTGATGAAAATAGAAGTTCCCATTCCCATCGCACCACGAAGGGAAGTTGGAGCTATTTCTCCCAAATAAAGAGGTTGAACACAAATGCCGATGCCTGAGAAAATAAAACATGATTAGAGCCACAAGTTTGATGTTGAAACCCAATATTTAACAGATATGTTTGCACGTGAAGGCATACAGTATTTAAATGCATTTCTGAATTATTTACCTGCATTTATTCCTGTGAAAAAACGTCCAATGATGAGTAACTCAAATAATCCTGTTGGGTAACTCAGACCTATCAGCAGAGCAGCCGTTAATGCAAATATATTATTGGTCAGCAGCGTCCCTTTCCTAGAAAAGCAACATCACATTAAAGCTTTATAACTGAAAATATATAAAAAAGGATCAGTAGGAATGTTCTTTTTTTAAAATTATCCATACCTCCCCAGCTTCACAGACAGCGTCCCACCGATTGTTACTCCTATAAATCCTCCTACGGTGAATATCGACACAATAGTGGACCAAAGCAGGGTGAGAACATCTTCTGATATGTTTGTTTGGTAACGCTCCCTCCAGGTTTCGTTGATGAAACTCTGCACATACTGGAGATAAAAGAAGGAGAACACAACAACCACATTCAGCAGATGAAGCAAAAATATTAAAAAGATATATGAGTGCATGCATATTTACCAGACATCACAGTGTAGAGGATATGTACTTTATGTGAGCGATGGAAATATGTGATTCATTCAGTTTCCAAAACTGTAATTTATTAGACACTGTACTTAACTTGAATCTTTTTATACTTCTACAACTTTTTACTAAACTAAATTTATCCAAAAGCTTTAGTTACTAGTTACTTTTCAGATCAGGATTTTTTGAAGAACTTTAAAAATATCCTAAATAAATTACAGTTTCTCAAATGTAACTTTTCCTCGTCTGAAAATACGGTAAACTAAATAATTATGAGGGTGTGACAGCATTTCTCACTATTTTCAGAAATCAGTCGATTAATGGCAAAAATAATCAACAGATTGAAAATAATCAGTATCTGCAGTTGAATATAAATCAAATATTTTAAAATGAGCTCTATGTCAACCAACTACAACAGTAATACCCTGCTTTTATATTAATGCAGGGTAATAATGATATAATATTAGTACTTTATAGACATTTTCCTGATTATACTTTTCCTTTTTTTAAGTTTGTGTGTGTTTATTATTTGTATTTTACTCTGAATACTTCCTCTACCACTGATTAAACTTGTAACATTAGTACAAAAATGTTACCATGCATTAATACTGTACAGTATTGTATTATACCACTATAATAGTATAACATTAAGTTATAGAGCATCTCTTCTGTCCGTCTTACCATTCATTAATATAAATATAAGTGGTATTAATGACTCCTGTGACAGACAGTAGGGTTATTACCGTTGTGGGTGCATTGATGACTGATATATTATATCCATACTGAAAGGTTCCTCCTATACAAGCAGCACACACAGCCAGGAGAAGGGATTTGTTCGGAAACTGCAATAAAACAGATAGTTAACAAACATCACTGCTATATAACCATCAATAGAAAGCTCCATCCTCGCCCACAGCTCCAGTTTTTGGTTTAAAAACTCTCATTTCATTATAATCCACATACCTTAATCCGCTTTTTATCTTTGATTTCTTTAATAAGCAGAGGTTGGTATTCATGCACAAATTCTTCAGTCATGTTGTCGCCGATGTTTTTGCGTCCAGTGTTTGTTTGTTTGTCGACTGTCCTTCATGTACTAAAGAGTTTGCTCCCAGCAGCCAAACTTAAAATCTACGGGAGGATGAGTTTATCCCGAGGAGGGTACAATTGATCTGTTGTCATAAAGTGACGGAGTGAGGAGAATCGCCCATATTAATCCATGTTTATCAGGATTTCACGGCATTTTAACTCAAAATGCGAGATCCTGCACGGGTTTATATCTCCGGAAGGCACAGGGGGAAGTACATCCAGCCGACATCAGAGTGCTTGCTATTGCTGCTGTTGTTATATTGAATGCATTGTGCTGATAACGTATAATAAACTGGAAACAATTTGACTGTAATTCAGTATACAGAGCTTTCCAAACAGCCGTGAAGGAGGCAGAGGAAGGCAGCTGAGAGAATAACTTGAGACAGAAGACTAGTGTTCACTTTGTCTGTCTAATTATTGAGAGAGTTTATGTAAAAACATGTGTTTCACAAAGAAATGCAACCTATAATAATATTTTTTATATATCTTGATATAATTTTAATAAGAAATAAACCGTGATGTAATATAATGTCTGATATAAATAAGGCTTGTTTGCAGTTAAATGATAATGTGCCTACAAAATGTGCTAAGTGTTGACTCCCCCTATGTTTCAGACCTTAGAAGAGCAGTCAGTGAACATCTGTAACAGTCTGAAAGGTCAATTATAAAAGGTAATTGGACATAATCAAAACACTGTACAGGCTTTGTGGATAAAATTAATACCACTTTAAGGCTTTATTATATGGATTATAAGGTGTAATTAATTAACTATTAATGCTTTATAAATTCGTTACAGGGCATGAATAAGAAGAAGTTTTAAGAAATGTTAGCAGAAATATAATTTATTAACATCTTATTTCGTAATTTCAAAGACATGATGGATGATTAGAATGTGAGAAACCAAAAAACTTTAATGGATTACCAATATTTATAACTACATTATTACCAAATAGCCTAAAAAGGATCAAAGGGACTTTTCTCAACCTAGAAGCCAAAACTTACTCTAATTGATGACTTTTAATGAATCTCCAAAGCATGTAAAGTGTTATTATGGGTTATAAACCAGTAATAAGCCATTAGTTACACCATATAACTTTAACTTTATAAAGACTCCCTCATTAAGAAGGGGTGCAAAATGTACATTTCTTTTTACTTTGACCAGAGCACTATTCATTTCAGTGAAAGAATAATCATCCAGTAAATAAACCAATAAAAAAAAGACCTGTCAGGCAAAACTTCTGCTATCCAGGCAGACCCTCACCCTGTTCTACATACAGTATGATCTTATCGCAGTTCGTCCTGGCAGCCTAAAACAATGATGACTGGATGTGGCGATAGCAAACACATTCAGAGTAAACTGCATGGCCAAGTTCAAAACTTTTCCGTTGTAGCCTCCTGAGGTGTTAAATGGTTTGTAAAATTAGCACAGAGAGTCGATTTTAACTCACCTCTTTCTTTGATTGCACAGATCCCTCATTGAAATTCATTTTGGAAGCTGCCGTCAAATTTAGTGTGAACAAACCATTTATAATGGATGTTCCACTCTAGCCCAGGCTCTTACATAATGGCAGCCCATTGGAAGGTGCAGCATATGATCTCAGCACCAGGGGGGAGACTCATTAACTCCTTGAAGCACTTTCCGACATTGTGCTGAGGCTTCCCCACGGTTAAGGGGGGGGATTGCTGACCCACATACAGAAATAATATTGACCCTTTGTTGTCTTAAATTAATAGAATGGGGCATTTAACTTGATGTGGCTGAAGGGCGAAAAAAAGCTGCATGTGGTGTAGCACCGGGGTAGCAGAGAGTCGTGATGCATTTATGGTGAAACACTTCCAATTGCTCGTAAAGATTAAAATAGTTTTATTATGTGATTCAGATTTAAAGTAGCCTTTAAACTACACCTCTGTAATAAAAACACACACAGAACTATTTCTATGTAAAATGATGAGAGTTTTCTAGCATGTAGGGCAGCAGACGGCACTACATTTAATTTCTCCATTTTAAGGGCAGCCTGAGGACACTGCATCATGTTTTCACTGTTTTAAGGTCATGGATTATTGTACTGCATCCCATTTTCACCATTGTTAGGGCACCCTGAAGGCCCTGCATCACATTTTCACCATTGTAAGGGCACCCTGAAGGCACTGCATCACATTTTCACCATTGTTAGGGCACCCTGAGGACACTGCAACATGTTTTCACCGTTTTAAGGTCATGGATTATCGTACTGTATCCCATTTTCACCATTGTTAGGGCACCCTGAAGGCACTGCATCACATTTTCACCATTGTAAGGGCACCCTGAAGGCACTGCAACATGTTTTCACCTGTTTTAAGGTCACTGGATTACATTACTATTGTAGGGCCCTGTATCACATTTTCTCCATTTTAAGGTCATGGATTACGCTGTATTACCATTTTAGGGCACCCTGAAGGCACTGCATAACATTTTCACCATTTTAAGGGCACCCTGGAGGCCTCTGCATCATGTTCACTGTTTTAAGGTCATGGATTATCGTACTATATCACATTTCTCCATTTGGGGAACCTTAGGGCATCAATATCGTTTTCACCATTTTAAGGCCCCTGGAGGCCCTGCAAATTTAAGGAAAATAGTAGTCATCACATATGTCACATCCCCTTAAAAACACGGCATTACATTTTCTCAACTGGGAGGGCACCTTAGAGGACACTGCATTGCGTTTTCTCCATTTTAAGAGCACTGGTTAGTGCACTGCATCTTTTTTCCCACTAAGCCCTAAGTGTATTCAGTTTCCTTCCATAGGTGCATTCAAGACGCACTTTTGCTGTGGTTTTTTTTCCTAATATGGTGGCACCAAGTCTCTGATAAAAGCTCTGAGCACAAGTAAATTACAAGTACATCAGTTGCTCCAGATTGCTGCCAGTATCAGTCTATGAGGGTATGCTGCTCTGCACACACACAAAGAGTTGAATAGTTTACCAGGCAAAAACTTTTAATCCTGTCCCTATGAGAATTTGCTCAGGCCACAGTTTGGCTGTTTGAGCCTTAAAGTGAAAATCCACCCCAAAATAGAATCAACGCATGTTATCTCCTAATAATGTGCAGTTCAGTTTTGTTGTTCTTTTTTTTTTGTGAGCAGCAGACAGTGTGTGGTGATGATGTAATCATCAGACAGATCCTGGAGCAGCTTGGCAGACAGGAGATCAAAGAAATCCTCATGTGCCTCATGTGACTGTAGTAGGTCGATGAACACCATGTGATGCACAGCTGGAATCTCTCTAACCAAATAACAGACATATAACAACTACATTTGGATGTTGTATAAGACAAAAATGTTTGAGCTACCTAATAGACTAGAGTTAACTAACATAGCAGATGAGTTGGGGGAGAACACAAGTGTCTGTTGTTTGCAAAGTAATCTTATATGTAAGCAGTTTCTTTTTTAACAAATGTTCATCACAGTAACGTTATTTCTGGATGTCTTTGGATGGAGTCCATTTTACATGGTGGGCATCATGGCACAAATAAACAACAACAATAAAAACAACTTTCCAAAGTAATTTACAAGGAACAATATTGGTTACACTGATTTTGGTTTTGGGTGGACTTTCTCTTTAATCTAACTATTGCTTGAGTTAATCCCTCAATTGTTCCTGATCTTAGAATGACCCAATTAAAGCGTTGATGTTAAAAATGGGGAGCTGAAGTTATAATAGCATTAATTTATGAAATAAAAGATATGAAAGTAAGAATCGAGGCTTTATGTGTACAACACGGTGTAATAGCAATGGTTGAAATTAAGTATATTTACTCAAGAACTGTGTTTAATTTAAAATCATATAATCACGTAACCAGTAGGAAACGGTTTTTGCTCATCAAACATTTGTACTTTTACATAAGTGACATCTTAAAGGTGGGGCTTTTTTTAAGGATATTTTATAGGCTATAAAAACTTCTGTGGGTCCAACGTTAGCTTGGATATAATGCATGATTCAAAGCAAAATTATGTGTAGAGTATAATATCAACTAAAATATATATGGTATATAGCAGAGATCCCCAACCTGGGGTCAGGATCTCTGCAAGCTTTTTTAAAAAAACTTTAAAAATATCCACAATAGTCCTACAGATCAACATTACGTTAATTTCTTGTGAAGAAAAATTTGATGAAATTGTAAATTTAGATGATAATTTGAGGTCTAAACTCTACTAATCAGCTTCATCCTCATCATTAGAAAAGTATGCAGCTAATAGAACGTAAGGGAGAGCAAAACACTGAATTTGTCAAAAAATAAGCTTATTAAGAATGTATGATTGTTATATATACAGACAGATAATTGTATAAAGAGTTCTTAAAAATATAAAACCCTGCTCATCTCTTGCAATATTCACAGGAAATAATCAAAAGTGCTCGTTTTACTCAAACTTCCTGCAATTGTTGGGTTCATTGTACAGTTTATCAGTTGTTCTGCATTAAATATAATTTGAAATATCCATAAAATATGTCAGTTTATGCATAGAGAAGGTTGGTAACCACTGGTATATGGTGTAAGAATAGAATAATGCTCACCATAATGTGTTTTTATGCTTATTACCAAACAAATGTGCAGTTAATTGAATTGTAACAAAGTAATAATTGCTGCACAGGTCCTCAGGGGACTGTGGGGCCAGCAATGTTAGATGCAGGTCCAAAGGTGATCCTAATCCTTTGATAAGTAGACTCAGACCGGAGAGGTGTCCTGTTAGTGTTTGACCGTAGGGGGGCGCTTCATCCGCACAGCAGAGTCTTTTGTGCAACACCGAAAGTCTTCCCCTGGTGGCTTAGGAAGCAGCAGAGAGGCAGCTGGTGGTTGGTGTTCATAATGTCGGGCAGAAAGCCCCGGTCTGTGGCAAACCCCCTGGAGTCTGCTATCACCACACCGAGTGAGAGGATACTGAAAGAATGCCACAGTTTGTATGTCGACAGCGAAAACGGTAAATAATCAATAACCCCGGATCCATATGAGTCAACAGTTAGGAGCGTAGAGCAGAAACGAGCACGCATAGTTGTGCTATTGTGTAACTTAGTGGTGTAGCAGGACTAAATCTGAAGTTTGCAGGGAGCGTAAAACGGAGCAGTTTAATGTGTAAAGGAGGTGGTGGTCTGCAGCAGCTGTCTGTCAGTGTCAAACTGATGACATTGAACACTGGTTCCTCTGCAGCCCTGCAGGGCAGCGCCCATATCTGACAAGTTACACTCCTGCAGAGTGCTGCAGAAGAAACCGGTTCAGCACAGAGGGGGCTGCTTTAAAGTAATGAGGCTGAACACTGTAAATAAGTGTCTTCTTGGTTTCATACAACAGTCCTGTGCAGGTCACCTGATCACTGTGTGTGCTGACTTTGCAGCCTTAATATAGTACTGTACTAGTCC